CGTCTACTCCTCACGCACCCCACTGGTCCCATGGGCACTATGAAAATCTTGGGGTAGGAGTATTAAGCTGTTGCAGAAGACTGGGCAAGTAGGTTGCACACTAATAAAAAATCAGTAAGATGTTATCAGTCTAAAACCTGAAATACCTTTAATGAGGTATAGCACCTCATTAAAGCAACCGTAGGATTTGGGGAAACGGGCAGCTGGCCATGCAGCTGTGTTTCTCTGGTAGTGAGAACTGGTTATTCTTCCAGCAGTGCCTGAACTGAAGCCGAGGAGAAAATACGCTTTTCAGAGAGCCTATAATTAGTGCAGGAAAAGTGCTCAAACCCATTGACCTACCTGTTTATTTTCCTTAATCTTGAAAGCTTTGTGGGATGAACACTATGCTTTCTTGACAAGCTTTTGAGATATTAGGCCTTAGTTAATCAAGAATCCCAAAGGTGTTACATGGGGTATGCACTGGAAAACTGAAAAAGATCTTTCTTTTCCTAAAGGTTCTAGGAATACCATGTCATTTTCTGGGATGTTTTTAAGATGTCTTTTCTTTATTATTATTTTAAAGACCTATAAACCTCCTCTCCTGGGGAGATTGAGCTTGTTCAAGTTTTCAGAGAGGTTCAAGTTTGCAGGTGAGAACCTGAAACCCGTGGGGCTCGAGCCGCTGTGGTGCGGGTCGCTGGGAGCTGTGCCGCGCTGGGCTGCGTTGCCACAGCCGGGGCCCTCGGCCTGGCCCCGCGGCCGCTCCGCTCCGCGCCTGCCCTGCGGCCCGAGGGGCCGTGGGGAAGGGAGCCCCAAGGAAGCCTCGTGCCTGCACAAGTGACTTCCCACACGCTTGGTTCCTCTCCAGAGTTCAGCCTGGTCGTGTTGTGCATCCTGCCAAGCACAGCATCTTGGAAATGATTGAAGCTGGTTGAGGTTAGGCAGATCTGGGGTTTTCTTCTCTGTTGATTTAAGGCTTGCATTCTCACAGCTTCCCCTAAGAGTGTGTTTGCTCGGGAAGCACTAGAGACTGGGCAGTGACAGGGATTAATGGGTATCACGTCTGTGTTCTGCGAAACCACCTGTGGCAGCCTTGGGGCTATAAGGCAAAAAATAACGTGGCCATCAAGAAGTGATATAAATATTTGAGCGTGGTACTGAGTGCATTTTGGAGCCTCCTATTAGAATAGCAGTGGGGACCTTGATTCTTTGAAGAATGAAGTACTAATTGTTGATAATGTTGCTCTTGGAACGAGAACAGCTTTTGGGATTTTCCTGTTAAACTGCAGTGACTGAGATCAACTCCCTGACAGCGTTTTATTAGATAGGAAGATAGTATCTGAGTGATAAAAACTGAAGTTCAGCAATCTGCCCTCAGCTGTGAATTTCACTGAATGGGTGAGAAGACATTTTCTAGCATTTATTCCAAAAAAAAAAAAAAAAAAAAAGTGGGGGAAAAGCAAAGAATTTCCATTCATCTGTTAGCATGAGGGCCTTGCTAACAACTTAGATCTATCTTGTGGCAGTCTAGAGACCTAAACATTGCATACTGTGGCTTGTATGAGAGGTAGGTATGTGAAGCCACCTCACGTCCCTGTGCCTAGGCTGTGTTTTGGCCTCTGCCTGAGGGCGATTGAAATCGGGCGGTGTGGCTGAAGGGGCAGCGTGGAGGTTTCCCTGAGGGCTGCTGTGAGGGGCGTTGCTTGAGAAATCTGTCTGTGATGGAGGGCCATCCATGAGCCTCGAGACAGCAAAGATACAAAATGGCAGCTGGCTGGTTCCTCCTTTTGGCCAGTAAGTTCTCCTCCAAGGCAGGGCACTTGGTCTGTGCTGCTCACGTCCGGAGATCCCTGTTGCACAGTTAGAAGAACCTTGCCCGAAGGGGTGATTTAAAGATACGCGGTTTTGTCTTGTGGATTTTGCTGTTTGGAAGAATCTATATTTTGTGAAGAAAAGAGGGGAAAAAAAGAGAGGGGGGCGGGGTTATGGCTTTTCATTGGCACATGCTGTGTCTTACTCCATTTTGACAATTACTATCTGTGCTACACTTCCACATTTTATTCTTCCTGCTCACTCCTCCAGTCTCTTAAAACCTTTCAGCATCACTTCTTGGGTATGTCCGTTGGCTAGTCAAGATGAAAATAGGGTGTCAAGTACAAGAGCCAGTTGGCTGGATTTCTTTCAATTTCTCCTGTTAGTTGCCTAAAAATACTTTGTTAAAAGCTTTCATATTACCTGGTCTTAGAGAGAGATAAAAGATAATGTTGATATTTTTGGCAAAACTTTTTTTTTTTTTTCTGTGATTGAACCCTCAAAGCTTTGTGGGTTTTCTGTTTATTTGGTGCTTTTTTGTTTGTTTTTAGGAGTCTTACCCCTCTTCATCACCAATATGGTTTGTAGAATCAGATGACCCCAACCTGACTTCAGTCTTGGAGCGTTTAGAAGATATTAAGAAGAGCAATACTCTGGTGAGAAATTCTGGGGGGGTTGTTTGGGATGATATTTTTTGTTTGTTTGTTCTTTTGTTTTAGCGCTCTCAGATGAACAATTAAGTGTGTTCAGATTTGGTATTATTTCTGGGGCTTTGTGAACCTAAGTTTCTCTTTTGAAAATTCTATGGATCAAAACTAATCCAAGAGATTTTGGTCAAGGAGAAGAATATGACCTTGTTCTGATGGACATTAAGTTTCAGCCCCAAGAGTACAGTTGTTTAATGCTTTTTGAAAAGAGCTGAACAGTGATATGTATGAGAACAGATAACTAAATGAAATAGCAGTTCTGGAATGCAGCTAAGTATTTGGTGTTTCTTTGCAGAGACTAACTGCTGAGGTAAGAGCTCAGTGTTTTTTGAGAATGTATATTCTCCAAAATCTGACTGTAATGGTAGCTAACCCAAAACAAGAATTCAGGATTTCAGGAAATGACTTGACCTGATAGCATCTGGTTCATCTGGATGTTCCTGAAATAGCTGTAAGTTGAAATAGTTCCTAAAACAGTTGCTCTTGTGATTTTGGGGGTGGCTCTTTGAGGAAAATGTTTGCACAGGTTCTAACAGTAGTTTAGTATTCCAGAAAAGTGCCAGGCTTTATTTCTTACTTGAAAATCTTTTTGATGTGATGATAGGAATTGTGTAAAAATGTCTTCACTTTCCATTCTGTGCAGAAAAGTAAGAGAGTGTCCTTGAATATTGCTTAGAGGAAGATTTCAGTACAAATGTACTTAATAGACTGTAATACTGTTCTTTCTAGAAAGGACATTCACAGTGATTCCCTCTGAATTCAGCTTTATGGTCCCTAAAAACTGTTAAGGGTACAAGAATGTGGGTACATGGGATGTGTACACAATAAACATCAGTGTGCAGGATGCATGGGTTCTGTGCTGGCCTTTGTATTTGCTTGTTTTTAGAAAAAGGAGGATGTTCTCTTTGATGAAATCACTTGCTGGTTATGTTTAATGGGATGTTATTCAAACATACCGAACCTTAAATAAGTGTGCATAAAACTAAACCCGTGAATAATATCTAGAAGACATTTGACTTTTAGGAGGAATTATGAGAAAACTAACAAGCAACTGGGAAACTTTCATATGCCTTGCCATAACTAAGCACAAATGAGCATTAGTGATTTAACATCTTCTGTTGGGTATGGTTATGGGAGACATGTGCTTTAGTTTTGTATTCTTGCAGCCTGAACTTTCAAATATATTAAGAAGAATCTGAAGTTTGTGTCTCAATCTTCTTGAGACTTCTGCAGAGAAAAGACATAGGAGAACGCAATGGCTGAATGTGTGGCCAACTAAACTTTCTTCCAATTTTTTTTTCTCTCAGCATGAACAGTGTGTGGCTAGAAGCTTCTGTCCCCTGTGTCACTTTAGATGAACTAATTTGCTGTGTGGGATTAACAAGTTCTGTGGAACAAGGTGTTTCCCTGTGTTTAGCTACTTGCAGGTTTGCTTGAGTTAAGATAGAAAGCCTTTCTGCAGACGTGCACGAGTCTCGCTATGCTGATTTGCCTGCTCGCAGGGAGTGCTTATGCATCTTGTAAGAAAATAGCTTCTGGGATCAAGATAGTACTTGCCCATGTGAAGGCTGCTGGGTTGATGTAAGAGACACCTGAGCGTGGCCCACTGGTCTCTCAGGAAACCACCCGCAACATGTTAGGCCAAGATGGAGACACAGGGAGTGGCTGAAGAGACAGACAGTTGCACTGTGAAATCTGATGACTTTGTTTTGACCACAGGGCCTGGGTTTGTGTCTTTTTTTATTTTCCCTCTCCCCTGTGAGTTGTTGGAGCAACTTATTACTTAGTGTGGTAAAGGAGTAAACGGATGAGACTGAAATGTTTTGCAGCAATTCCTGATAGATCACTAGCTGTTAAATGCCACCTTAGTTCAGCTTAGATTTTTAGAAAGTTTCAGACTGCTTTTCATTTAACTTATTTCATTTAAGCAGTCACTTCCCATGCTGCTCTGAAGTTATATTATAAAGTTACTATTGGAACAGCAGGGTTATGACTGCACTCATGCATTTGGCTATAGACCTCACTACCTCATTTGGCCCGAGTTAAAGTTCTTTGGTATTTCTCTGTCCTTTTTGCTTGTGTTGCAGCTTCTAACAAGTAGTTTGGGAAGCCAAAGAGCGGGCTGCTTAGGCATGAATGTTTGACAGGGCTACATAAAAGGAGGCCTTGTCACTTAACAAGGTGAAGGGAGAACTGTTTTACATCAGCTAAAATCCTACACCCTTCCTGGAAAATCTTCGGTTGATTTGAAGTTCTGTAGTGTATGCCTTGCATTAGCCGGGTGCTTTCTACTACAAAAGCTACCAAAACACTGCAAATGTTGAAAAGGTCATTGAATGTTGTCAGTATAGCTAGCACTCATTTCTGGTAATTTAACTGACTGTTCATATTGAGCAAGATATAAACAGTAGATGCAGGAACAAGGACGACTCATCTGTGGTGCCTCTAAATTCATTTATGAAGCCTGAAAATTGGCACGGCTTTAATCTTGCTAGATAGCTGATACTGACAGCTGCCTTCTAGTGGTTGTATCATGTAAAAGATGTATCTTACTCTTGCTCTGTGTTGTCCTGTTTAAAATAATAAAAGTTACAGTTGCAGGTCCAAAATCTCAAAGCTTACATCATGACCCTAAACTCGTTAGTTAATATAACTGTGTGATTAGAGGTTGTACTTTTTAAATTCAGAATAGTTGGTGATTTTTGTAATTGAAGACAATAGTGAAGGGGACCTAAAATTGGATGACATCTAATTTGGAAGTTTAGTTCTCATGCTTCCAAAATCTTTTGAGGGTTTAAATCTGCATCACAGAGTTCAGAAGTGCAGGATTCTTGATGCAGCTCTGTCCACAGCTTGGATAAGCTGCTGTCGCTGAGCACAGGGCTTCTGGGTTAACAACTTCTCTATAGTGGCATTTCAGTGAAGAATGTTGCAAACTACAAAACAGCAGCAACTAGTTATATACCCAGGACCCTAGAGACAAAATACAGGAAAAAGCTTTGCTTTACTCTGAAACTGCACAGGGCTCTGAATGTGCTTGGAACTAATTACTGTCACGGAACAACTGATAACTGGGTGGCCACACTGCAAATAACACTCATTCCTTCCCTCTGGTTCCTCTTATCTCCTTTTTCAGCTTCAGTGATAGGCTGTGATTTGCTGAATCATATATGTTGATACACACAGGAATGCATGTGTAATTGTATTATACTTTAAGACCATGTTTCTTAGTAATCTGAGGACAAGCTGCTTCATAAGGAGCCCAGCAATAATATTAAAGGTATTCAAAAACTGTTAATGCTTTTATTTTGTTTTATAAAGGACTCTCAGCACGTAAAAAGGCTGCCTAACGTAGGACAGGTTTCAGAACAAGTGTTTGCTGATTTGTAAGACACTAAGACAGAAACCAAAAAAAGCCAAGAGATGCTTTGATGTTCTAAAACGGCATTTTGGTATCTGTAAGAACAACCACCTCCTCAGAACAACTGAGGAGAATTAATAATTATTAAAAATAACAACAAAACAATGCAATTATATTATTTTAATTGTATTTGGTTGCTTGAGCATTCTTATTAATCACCCAGACTATTTCTAGTCTTGCCGCAATACCCTGTGGATTGCACACAGTATTTCAGTGTAGCTTCTGCCCTAGACACTCTGTGATCCAGAGAAGCTGTTTATGTTCTGATAGGGCCCCTTTTGTGTGGTCTCCTTCCTGGTGGTTTTGGTGCTTGGGTGTTTAACCCCCATCAGCGAATGCACAACCTGTCCAGAAACCTGCGCGTTGCTGCGTTAGTTCTCAGCCAGGTTGTTTCTGCAACCCGGCTCGCGCGTGGCTCTGGGCTCGCCGATACCAGCACCAACGAAGAGAGTTAAACATTCTCTTCCTAGCTCTTGCTCTTGTGTTGGAGAGGTCTAATACTGTGTCCTTCTTCTTTTCCCAAGTTTTGAACCAAAGAATACTACCAGCTAAAGGCAGTGTTTTTCTCACTTAGCTTCTTCCTCGCCATGTGTGCTTCACAATAAAAGATGGAGAGGTCTAATACTGTGTCCTTCTTTTCCCCAGTTTTGAACCAGCTAAAGGTAGTGTTTTTCTCACTTAGCTTCCTCCTCGCCATAGCTCATCCAGCTTTACACAACCGTGTGGGAAAAGGAATGATGATTCCGGAAGCTTCCCCCTCCCTGGCTCTGCCCCTCTCTCCTCAAGCTCTCTGAGGAAATGTTGTCTGCTCAGAGGGTAAAAGTTTCTCAACAAAATACATAGCAGTAACTTTAGGTATCTCACGCATATTGAGAATAATAGCACTAAACCCTGTGGACCTAACTGGGAAGTACTTTTTAATTAGTTTTTTGCCTGCTTTCTACCCATTAAAAGGTTTCATGACACTTCACACAGTCAAGAAGTTTTGGAACAGCTTCAGAGTCCTAACACTAACGAGGGATGCGACTGTTACAGGAGGCCTACGGCAACATAAGCGATCGCCTGTCGTGTACCTACTCACAAGAAATGTGATGCTGATGCATCAGTTCTTTGGGTGTCATCTGCTGTACTTACGAGTTAAGGATGACTTTCATGACTCTTGCAAAAACAGAAAATGCGAACAAGATACAAATTATTCATAACTTTTTTTAGTGTTAACTTTTGCAGGCTGCTATGTCAGTTCATGGCATCTGATGAATAAATGAGATTCCTATTAAATAGGAATGTTGAATTCCACTGGAGAATAGAAAAGCACAAAAGTTTTCAAGTATACATATATTTATATATTAAAACATACATTAAAAAAAAAAGTTAGAGTTGACCATTTTGCAAATGTAATCTGCAGTCCTGTCTTTGCTTTCCTGACATGGTGATGTGAAGGCCGTGAGAAGTTAGGAAATGCTGGTATGCTCTTTCATGGCCTTGGCCTTAACTAGGAATCTGAGGGCTGCCCAGAGCTTTGGGATGTTAGTGGCTATGGAAATCAGCACAGCTAGCATGGGACCAGGAAGCAAGCTTAACACCTGCTCCTGCAGCACTAAACTTACTGTCTGGATAGTATCAGAGTGAGTAAAAGCTGTTCCCTATCTTGAATGTAATAAAACTCAGTCAATAGTCAACCTTGCCTAAATCTCACCCAGGCAGCGCAAGCAGATGACCTGGGCTCTAGCTCGGAAGCTGTCTCGTGCTGTGTCTTGTGCAATGTCTGCGTTGCTGCTGGTGATCCCCTGCTGCTCCTAGGGAGGGATGTGGGAGAGGGGTGTTCCTCCCAGGTTTTTGAAGGCATGCTGCTTTGAGATGGGCAGCAGGAAGGGCAGACTTGAGCCCAGAGGCAACATCATGGACATTCGTTAGTGCTCTGTGGCTCTGAGCCCTGTGACTGCAATGGATGGTGCAGCCCCAGGAAACTCTTCTTTAGCTCCTGACCTTTCTCACTTGATATGGAGAAGTAAATGGGACAGCTTTTGTGACCTGTCACCTTCTGGGCTGCCTAGCATGGGGATTTTAGCAAGGAGGTTTTTAACAATGAGCGTGGAGGAATCAAGGGATGTCTGGAAATGCAAGTTCAGTATTAACATGTGGAGAAACATCAAAATATATTGCTGACTCTGTGCTTTGGTTTAAATAGACATTCTCCTCTTTCTTTTATAGCTTCTTCAACAGCTGAAGCGATTAATATGTGACCTCTGCAGATTATATAATCTTCCTCAGCATCCAGATGTTGAAATGTTAGATCAGCCATTGCCAGCTGGACAGGTAAATTAAAAAGCTGTGGACACCTGCTTATGGAAACACAATCCCGTTCAACTCTGACAAACTAGATGGTGATAAAGATTAAAAATCTGTGTAAGCCAATACTGAGATATGAAGCACTATTGTTTTTCAGTAGGCCCTTTGTCTGTTGTAAAGTCCACTTTAAGGAAAGAGTATTGCACAGTTTCCTTTAAAGTTTGTTTTTTGGGTGATTGAAAGGTGTGTGCATGTATAAAAATACATATGAAGTGACACGCCATTGATCATTTTAATCCTCACCTAAAATCTGCTCAAGATGCCTGCTTTGCATTCTTGGTGCTTTTCAAAATGCGTTTTTGCTTAAATATTCCCTGCTGCTTCTTGAAGAGTTTACGTTTTAGAATGTGCACTTGAATGACCTTTTTATCAATGTTTTCCTTCACTCCCTTGTAAAGACATGGGCTATCACGACCATATGCTGCACTTTCTTTTTTTGATAGGAGTTATCTGAGGTGCCTTGTGTACTTTTCACGCATGTGATTATTTAGCAGCCCATCACAACATTTAATTTTTCTGGTTAATGAGTGTTGTGTTGTGCTGCAAACCAAACTGGTAGCTAATAGTCAGCATGTTTTTATTTGTAATAGGGTTGTGGAACCTTTTTTTACTTGCACATGTTAAGATGACATTTCTAAAAACTCCTGTAGCGTAGCAGATGGTTTTCCTGTGGTGACAGTAATATAGTAATGACAAATAACTTGCTTAATTTTGGTCATGTGCCAAACTGTAATCCTATAGCTTTTCTTTTCAGCCACCCACCCACGTAGCAGTGCAACCATGAGGCCATAGGCCTGTAACACTAGGAAGTAGCTTTGCAAAGAGCCCCACCTACGCTCGAAAACTCATGCAAGGTTATCTTAGCCAAAAACCTCAGATAGTTTGTGGGTTAAATAACAGTGACCTTACCACTTTGAGCCAAAGATCCATCTAATCCCACTGCCATTGCCATGTCAGGCTTCCCGAGGGAGAAATATTAGCAGAGGACAAGCATATCATAATAATTTTGAGTACTTCTGCAGCTCAGACTTTGAGCTTGAAGTTATATTCTGAAATGGAAAATTATGAAAAATGGACTCCATATATTTTAGTATTCCATCAAATAATTTAATTAAAATGGCTATAGAAGTTAGTTGTTCCCCAGAAGTTCTAGGTAGCTGAGCCAAAGATCCATTAATTTCCCGAGATCCAAATAATATGAATAGGGATATTCAGAACTTTGATCTGATTTCATGAATAAGTTACCACGAGTTACAACCCACTTGACTTGTTCATTGTATTTGTCACTGCTGTCTCAAAATAGGATACCCTTAGCCAATTCTCTAGGTTTCCACGTGGATCTTAATGTGAAATGAATCATGGTATTCTGTTCATCTTATTTTCAGGCTGAGGTCTCTTCACTGGCATGCTGCAGGAAAACACCTTCATACATGATCTTTCGCAAAACAAACAAACAAACAAACAAAAACTTTTTGGCAGTTTTTTGGCAGTCCTTTGTAGACTCTGATTAAATATAACTTTCCTGTGTAGTGCTTATTATTCAATAGTAGACTCCCTGTTTTTGAAGGACGGGAATGCAGAAGCAATTCATGCTGAAACTTCAATTGTTGTATTGCAGAATGGAACAACAGAAGAAGTTACCTCAGAAGAGGAGGAAGAAGAAGATATGGGTGAAGTATGTATAGATAACCAGAGCTTTCATCATGCTGTCCTTTTGTTCTGTGGTTGCTGCCTGATTATCCAGCCAAAGTATAAGATGCAATCACTCCAAACTTCAGTGGAAAAGAAAATTCAAAATTTGCCTGTCACCTTTGTAAAGGTGATATTGACATATTGCCTTTTACTTCAACCACCAAAACCTGTGAAATATTTTTCTTAAACCTAGGTCTCAGCATGTAAACTACTTGAATATAGAGCCTTGGACATCTGTTCACAGTTCAAGTTGAACAACACATAGCACCGCATGCCAATCAGCAGGCTTGCATTGTAAACTTCTCTTTCAAGCAGCATATGAACTGGCTTTGCAGATGAAAGTGCATCCCAGGTGAAACAGTCTAGTTGAGAATAATTTTTTTTCCTCATTTATTAAACAGCTGAAGTTTATCTATAATATGCTGAAGGAAACGAGAGGTTATCTGCAGCTGACATGCTAAACTGCACGGCTTATGTCAGTGTCTGGCAACATGGTGCTCCTTTTAATGAACTCTTTGCTGCCTGAGAACCACCCCCTTTAATTACTTCTACAGCATGCTAGAATAGGTCCAAGAAATGCTTGCTTTTTAAACCGCAATAAATAGCTTTATTGTGTAAGAACTGTTCTTACTACTTCAAGTTTACATTTGTAATAAATAAAGAGGTATGTAGAAAGAATGAAGAACAACTTCTCTTTTGAATAGGAAGAGGACAGATCTTCCTTCAGGAAATATCTAAATGTTACCTGTGCAGTGGAATGAATCTAAAGCAGCTTCCCTCAGACTATATTTAGCCTAAGCCAGACCACATTTATTAGAGTCAAGGTTTCTGTAAAGGTAGCGTGAACACTTCTCCACACTGTTGCCACAAGACCGTTTTTGCTGCTTTTAAGTGTCCTTTTGCACTCTGTTCAGGTAATTTCAGAAGCAAAATTGTCTTTTGTTGCTTATAAGTCAAGAAAGCCCTTTGTGGTACTGTTCTCTTCAGCTTTTAATTTAGTCCAATTTCTAAATAAAAACGTAGTTTATTGTTCCTAAGGCTATGTCACTACCTTGAGAAACAGGCATGTTTAAAAACAAACAAGCAAAAAAACCAAAAACAAAAAACCCCCACCACTACTACCAAAAAACCCACTGTCTAAAACATGCTGCATTTAGGGAAGAGTGGCTGCCAAATGCTCCAAGTAGGTGTGCTTGATTGTGTGCAAGACATGCTTGAATTTGTGTTTATGGCCAGGTTTTCCTGCCGCGCAAGCAGATGGTGCAGGGGAGCACCTGGGGTGTTGGAGCACACCGCAGCGTGTCTGGTAGCCGTGTGGGCTGCTGGCCTGGCTGGTGGCGGGCTGCCTTTTTCAGCTTTCCCTCTCCATAAATAGCATTTGTATCACCTTAAAAGCAGTTGTCTTAACCTCATAGCACTGCCCTGCAATAGGATTGCCTCTGTGGCAGAACTCGCTAAGAACAGAAGATTTTCTCATGTCTTAGCCTAGATCTCAAGATCGATGATGAATGTGGGTCTCATCTGTAGGGCTCCCTACATTTTCAGTGAATGGTGCTGGCGGAAAGAGTAAATTTTGAACAAAACAGAAATGTTGTCCAACAATCACTAATAGTTAGTGCTTTGCAGTGTGGTGACTGTGTCCCTGCACGCCTTTGCAGAGAGCTTTTTGGGGAAAGAACATGGTTAAACTGTTTACAGTGAATTCTTTTCTCTCCTGAAGGACATTGAAGATCTGGATCACTATGATATGAAGGAAGAAGAACCAGTTGATGGGAAGAAATCTGAGGATGAAGGCATTGAAAAGGAGAACCTTGAAATCTTAGAAAAAATCAGAAAAAATCAAAGGCAAGATCACTTAAATGTGAGTTTTTTTTTTTCTTTGCAGTTCTTTTAAAATAGGTTTATTTGCTGCAAGCCATTCCTATCACAAGCATGTGTGCCTATATAGGACAAAAGTTATGTCCCATAGTTTGTTCTGGAGAAATCTTGTTAGGCCAGCTAAAACACAAAGTTGCGTCAGTAAATGGAGTAACTTTGCATAAAACCTTTGCAAAGCAAGCTAGTTGCCAGGCCACATCCCACAGAGCAATAATACCACAATAATTAAGTGCCCCTTCATTTAACTTGGGCCAGGCCAGCTTGTCTTCTCTTGCTTGGTACTTGTGTTGGACAGTAGCCCTCCCTGCCCAACTGGCAGAAAGCATCTGGGTTGTAAGCATGACTTTTGCTTAGCTGTTACGGAACTAGTGAATAGCCACATACACAGTGACTACAGCATGAGAAGTATTAGCATTAGAACTCATAGGTGACCTAGCGTGTCTGGTAAATCCAGGAACTTGTGCTTTAAAGTTGCTCTTATGTATGAGTTTTTTCAATAATATCTGAAATAACAGAAATCGTTTTGCCAAACATACAGCAAGACACTTTGATCCTTCTGCAGCTTTGTTAACGAGTTTGAGAGTATTTCTGCCAGTGGAAATAAGAAATTTCTGTATGGCTGTGTCCTGGAGATGTTTGTTTTCGTTTTTCATATTAAAATACCTCTGTAAACACTGGGCCCTGTGACTTTCATTTGTTTCCAGTTTTGTTAGTTTCACTTTGTACCTTTGGTGATTTATTAGGTTGTGTGAAAAAGTATAAAATAATCTGTCATCAGTAATCCAATATTTAAAAATACAAAGCATAAGTAAATTGTTTTTGTTGTACAGAACTGTTTAAGGATTTGCCATACATAGGAGTTACTGTTTTGTAACTTAAATGTTTGTTCAGACTTGGAGATGCCTGTTGAGATTGTGTATATTTCTATACTTACAACCCAGACCTAATGGCTAAAATTTCTTAATCACTAAACAAAATAAAACCTTGCAGCCTGAAAGCCACGGTCTGCTTACTGTCATCTAAAAATTCAGTAGAACTGAAAAAGCTTTTTGTAATGTCAACATCATTCTGTGGTGTTGAAAGCCTCTTAAAACTGCAGATTTTCTCCCCCTCTCTGTTCTTGCCTACTTGGCAAACTAGCTTTTCTCTTGCTTTTTCACTCTGCATCTAGCAGAGCTGAAACGAACACTGCTGGGTTTTGTTTGACAACAGCAGATCCAACTTACATAATAGCTGTTCCTCATGCCAAGACACTCTTGTTGATGCTGATGCATAAACAAGGTCAGCTGAGTACAGGGAACAGGGTATTCAGCTGCTGCTGAGGAAGGATGGTATTTTTGTGGGTCCCCAGAAATAGCTGCTCTGGTTAAATAAATCCTCACAAGTCCTTCGTGAAATTACTCTTTAGTTCCTGAGTGCTGAAAGCTATAGTTGCACTACTGACCCACTAAAGAGCAAACCTAGTAACACTTAAATGCACCCTTATGCTGCCAAAGCAGGGACTCTGCACAAAAAACTGTCTCTGTTATAGCAATGGGCTGCTCCGTATCCTCAGATAAAGCAGTGTCTAAGTTTGTTCCTTGGCGGCAATGGGTTTTCTGAAAGGACCATGAGTCTGACAAACTTTGGTTTACTTTGTTTCCTCAGCAAAGTGAAACAAAACCATACCTGCGTGCTGCTTGCTGTGAAGAGAGGGGCCATGAAGTCTAATGCAGGGCTTCAGCTTACACCTAATGAAACCAGGAAACTTTTCAATGTTCTTTAGCCCTTGTCTGTGGGTCATCCTTTCTCTCCTTGGGAAAAATGTGCCTTGAAGATGTTGCTCATGTTAAAGATCTAAGCACAGAAGAGGAGTGCATGAAGGTTTTTTTTTTTTTTTTTTTTTTTTTTTTTTTTTTTTTTTTTTTTTTTTTTTTTCTTTTTTTTTTTTTTTTTTTTTTTTTTGGCTTATTCTATGTTTTTCTACATAGATTGTGTGTTCTAGTGGTTTTCTGCAGCAGATGTTTCTCTGCTGCTCAAGTTTTTGTTCATAGAAATTCTTCTTTTTTTTTTTTTCTTACAGGAAGGGAATGCATCTACTAACTTTGTAATTAAGTTTTCTTCATTGGCAGTATCCCTAATCTTTTCCTCCTTACTAGCACTAGGAAATAGCCTTAAATTTGGCTTGCAGTGTGATATATAACTTGGAGCAGGAATTAATCGTCCTCTTGACATTGTAATAAGTTTATGGAGCCATTTGCTTACAGTGAAGAAAGGTCTTTGAACTTGAATCATTAACTTCAAATATTTAACAACTTGCTGCTGCTTGATTTTCAGAGGTTTCTCCTCACTTGGTCATTTTAGAGATTAATGATTTTCTTATTTAGATAATGCTGTTAGCTTTTGTACCTCCACTTGAGGAGTTTATACACTTTTCTTCAGGAGTCCCAGTGTTTCTGTTCTAGTCTTTTACATTTTTTTGAAGTTTAAGGTATCACTTGTCTTTTTCTGACACTACCTGAACCTTCAGGAGTGAATGCACTTCTGCACAAATACTGAAAATGTTAAGTGATAACAGAGGTAACTTGTTTTGTGGTTCTCTTTAGGTTACTTTACTCTTTCTGTACGTACAAAATCTAAAAACAGGAATTGGAAAATGTCAAGCCATTTTCAGCTTTGGAGACTTAGTGCAGTAGATAACTTGTACGGTGGCACGTGCTGTGGTCATTTCTGTGTGTTTAGTTGTCTTACTGTCTTGTGAATGTAGAAGCTCAATTCTTAAACAGCTTCTAAGAAAACTATGATTTAACTGTGCAATAAAGTATTCATATAAATTCTAATGTTTGCACTAAAATACAAATGTAAGGATGAAAAATACTTCTGAAGAATGTAATTCCCACAGCAACTTGAACAGAAAATTTCCTGCTTCTGGCAGTGGTAAAAGCAGATCCAAAAGAGGAAGACTTGGGAGCAGGACAAGCTTGTAGTGATGCACCTCGTGAATCTCTCTCAAGGCTGACAGTGTACAGCTCTGGGACTTCCCGAGTTAAACGATTAGCTGCAGCTGTCAACTTGGAGGGCTGTCACATAAAGGCCACGTCGTGCAGCGAGGACTTCCCCAGCCGACGGCGCAGTTGTGAGGAGGAGGCACCTTGCTCGCCGTGCGCCTGCGCGTTCTGTGGGCTCCGCGCCCGCCACCTCCTGCGCACCGGAGATCTCGGATCTTGGGTGGCAGCTCTTTGCAGCGCGGCAGCTTGCAGACCAAGTGACCACCATTTGCTGATCTTGCCTCTTGGCATCAATCACACATAACTGATAGCTCTCATATCTCATGATCGACCGGTTTTATTTCTTAGGCAACTGTGGTTGTAAATTTTAATATCATAACTAGGTAAATCAGAGCTTCCTCTTTCCTGAGTCCAACTCTTCCAGAAAAACACTCAGTTACTTGTACCTAAGTTCAGTCTTTGAGATTATAACTTGCATTTAGAGGCTTCTTGAAAGTTAATATTTCTAGTTTTGGTACCGTTAGAGACAAAGTCTCTGCTCTACTATATCTATATGCCATATATGATCCATATAGTACTTTTCTTCTACACAGCCCTTTAACTATAAAATGCAAACATTTTGTCATAATGGAGGCTGTTTCAAAGGTGTGGAACAGCACCTTCAAGGTACTGATAACTTGCAATGCAAATAAAGCTGCATGATATGTATGTTTTTGCTTATTCAGAGTATTGTTTGTTTGTTTCAGGGTGCAGTCTCTGGGTCCGTTCAGGCTTCAGATCGACTTATGAAAGAACTCAGGGATATATATAGATCACAGAGTTATAAAACAGGTAAAGTACTTGAAATATTCCTTCTTAATATAGTTTAAAATAATTATCTTGGTAAGTATTTTCTGCTAATCTGTGTTCTGTAGGTGTGTGTGCATAATGTGTCTATGTGTGTATGCATGTTTCACTAAATGAAGCAATGTATTTGCAGAGATAAAAAGCAAGGCAGGAGACGTTTCCTCTAGAATGTTCTTCATCTCTTCTTATATGAATCTTCATGCCAAAATTAACAAGATTGGAGTATCTATGAAAATGCTTTTGGTATAGATGACTCCTAGCAGCACTACATGACTGCTGTGGGAGTTCTTGAGCCCTGAGAACTGCTTGAATCCACTTCTCCAGGTATCTAGGGCACAGTCTTTGAGACTGTCCCAGTGGGTAGTACTGCTTGCAAAGAACACATTAGCTGCAGAGAGATTTGTGTTCCACACTAGGAGGTTTTGTTATCATGAAGAAATAATTAACCTTAAGTATATTCCTCTCACTTCATTCTTTTGTGATAGTGCTAGTTTGACCCTGAGCTCCGTATATTCTTTGGATATAAACAGCAGGAGAAAATAAGCATCAGGGAGAGATTAAGCTTGTCTGCTGAGCTTGTTTTTGTTTGAATAGCAAGCACTCATTGCTTTTTATTGGTTAGTTTAATGAGGTTTTCTCAGTTGGCTGGTTGGTTTATTTGCTGTATACAGTGGCTCTGTCTAAACCTTCTTAAAATATTTGGCATATTGATGTGTCTGGGTATTACTATATAACAAGTAGAAGTTTGCCTAGATTTCATGGAAGCTGTGTTCCTGTAGGCCAGCCCAACTGCCTAATCCATCCCTGTACCCAGAGGTGAGATCTTCCTCCCTCCAGAATGGGAACCGGTAGATAGACTGGGTAGAAAATCAGCCTAAACTTCAATATTGTATCTTGTGCTTTTCTAAACTCTTTTAGTTTGTTGCTAGTGGTCTTAAATCCTGTTTGTGGGCTCTGGCATTTTCATTTGTTGTGTTTGTATCATATATTTTATACGTGTTGCTGGTGCCAAAGACACGGTACGAATAGGCTGCTTTTCCATCCTTTTGGGATGTAGGTGGAAGAAAACACCCTAAATATGATAGGGGAACAGATTCCTCATTAATTTGAATTGACCATGAGCAAGAGTTCTGAGTGCCAGCTCTTTGGTTTCACCAGAGCAGTGCCAAGTGAAATTTTATACTTGATTTCCATTTATACTAAGGGCAATGCCCTTACATCTAGGGAATTGACACGAGGCCTCAATAGTGCCTTCTGTTTATCCTCAGACAAGTGTGTGGTGCCTGAGAACTAGCTGCTGATTAAAATGGGACACTGAGAGCACAGTGAGTAGGTTTTGGGGCCTCCTCGATTGTCCTAGGGCTAGAGGGAGACATTTGAAATCATGGTCTTGGCTGCGGGAGCCACTTGTCTGTAGCACCCTGGTAAAGAGACACAAACGTGTTTTCATTACCTTGGTTACTGATTTTTATACTTTTTTAGAAATAAAGATATGTGGACAGCTTGAAATGCTATCTGTATTAAAAGTTAAAAGTGCAGGATGAGTTTTATTATTCTAGAATATGCTAAAAAGTACCTTCTACAAAACCTTCCTTCTTTCTTCCTTTTTCCTATGCTAAAAAGTACCTTCTACAAAACCTGTGATTCCTTGAGGATCTCTGTGCCGGAGCAGTCTTTTGGTTTGTAGCCTTCGGAAAACCTAATCTCTTCCAACTTGCTTATAATCAATTCAGCAACAAATATGCTATTAAAAATTAGCCCAGGTAACAAATACAATCAAGGCTGCTGAGTGTACATGCGTGAATAGCGTGGGAGGGAGAGGCTAGATTTCTTCCTTTTTTTTTTTTTTTCTTCTCTCTTTTCTGCTTTTTAAAAATATTTTCTTATGGTAGAAGATCTGCTTTATCATGGGCTGCTTTGTGAACTCCTGCAGGGAACGATCTTACGTGTCCAAGGAAAATGACAGAGAATTGTTTGCCCATCCCCTTGGGAATTCCTCTTGGGAATGTTCTTCATCCACTGCAGTATCTTTTCTCTGTTTCCACTCTGTCTGGTGTCCTGTCTGGATCTGCAAATGCAACCTGTGAAATACAACACTGCTTACTTGGACTGTGTGTTAAGTGTTTTTTTAATTATGTAAGTCATGCATTGGGTATCAGCTAAACTAAGCAAGTTGGAGTTCTAAATATGGAAAGAGCGACAGGAACTGAAGAGTGACATCCACTGATTCACGTAGTTTTTTATTTATTGTTTTTACAGAAGTGAAATGCTGTATATTTTCTGTGCTAAAATTTGTGCTAAATTCTACCTCTTCTTTTAAAAGTTAGTAACTAATTTTCTCTATTTTCTACAGGGATTTATTCAGTGGAACTGGTAAATGACAGCTTGTATGAGTGGCATGTTAAGCTTTTAAAGTAAGTTTTTAAACTCTTCTGATGTCCTGAAGAATGCATTTTAATATTCTTGCAGAGATTTTATTAAATGAAATCTTTAGCCAGAACATTTAAAATAGAGCGTGTGGCTACAAGTCCTACATTTCTGTTATCAGATACATACAAGGATTTAGCTCTAGTCATAGGGAGGGGAAAAATAACCTCTATGCACAGTCAAGTCAGTGTGTATCACTAACTCTCATTACTGTACAAATCTGCTTCCAAGAATGCTCCAAAATTCAGAACTCTAATGATGAAATTCCCTGCTTAGGCCACACACTTCTGTAGCAGTGTTCAAACTGTTGTGCAGTGCTTTGCAACCTCACTGAAGTACTGCGGACAGCTCTGATCATCTACCCTCAGGAAAGAGCAAACCAAGTTTTCTTGGTGGCTTCCAGAACAACTGAGAAAATAAAAGGTTTTTATCCCAGCAAAGAATGTCTTAAGTGAATGAACTGCATGCAGACAAGGGAGTAAATATTGAGAAGGCAAGAGCCTTTTTGCCTAGGGGACAGTATTGTTACTAAAGCAAGTAACTCTGAGCTTTGGTTGGAAGGAATGGGTTTGCAAGTGTCAGGAAGTATTTTCCTGGAATAGTTTCCCATTTGCCAGATAGGGATGAACTGCCCAAGTAGTTCACAAATGGGATCCAGCAGATTTGTGGTTCTACCTGTAGTAAAGGATTGGATTTAAGAGGCACCAGCCCCTTTTAAGGTCTGCTTTGAGCTCACTACAGCTTTTGCTTGCCTGCTCCTTTTCAAAAGCTGCTGGGTGCTGGTGTGTGGGTGGGATCAGTGCAGTTGGGTGCTGAGCAGGGCTGCTTGCCATCCACCTCCTGTTACAAGCAATTGCTGGAATTGTGCTGAGAGCAGGATCTGTGGCTGCGCTACTGCTGCAGAGGCAGATTGTTTTAAACAGCTAGTACAGAGCTGCGGTCACATGCCCTGCAATGGATTTACTACCTGTATAGTAAACATTAGAACATTTCAGTCTTCCTGTTAAAATCTCTTTTTTCCCTACCTTCTTGGAAGGCATTTCCAGTGAACTGAAAAGAATAATATTACTGTTTTCAACTAAGTATGTCTTTCCCCCCCCCCCCCAAAAAAAAAAAATGTTCAAAACCCATTTGGTAGTGGTGGGAATGCAGTGTTTTGCAATAAACTTTAATGTTGATCTCACAGCGGAGTGTTCACCTTGTAATGTGAGCATTAATTTTCTGAAACTACAAATACCTAGAGCTAGAGAAGCTCTTTGAGAGTAATTACTGCTTTACAGAAGCTGCAGTTAATGTCATCCAGGATCTTTCCCTGCTTCTTTTGTAGGGTTGATCCTGACAGCCCATTGCATAGCGATCTTCAGGTCTTAAAAGAAAAAGAAGGTGTAGAATACATCTTACTCAACTTCTCTTTTAAGGTATGTGGCTGTTGGAGGAAATGCAGGGATAAAATGCAGGGATAAAACATTCCTGGTTTACTGTAGAACATGATTGAAATGACCCTCTTCTGTTCTTTGAGAAAGATGAAGGTGGACTTTGAAAACATAAAACAAAAAGAAGCAGCTTTCAGTGTGGCATTCGAGCCAGTACTGTGGAAAACTGATTTCTACAGAGCTGAAAAATTCTATTGCTTTAAATCTTACCTGTCAAATAAGCCTTTTGAAATACTCCCTGCATAGGAAAGCAGTGTTACAGTATAGTTCCTAACCTATGTTTGTTATCCTTTCCAGGATAACTTCCCTTTTGATCCTCCCTTTGTGCGAGTGGTATCTCCTGTGCTCACAGGAGGGTAAGTTTGAGTTTTACAGAAACTTTGCTTTGTGGGTAAAATGTTACAATTGAGACTAAATTCATTTTCCAAGGCTTTCATTTACCTCCTGCTGACAAGGACTTATCAACCTTGCATGTTTGAAAATGCAGGCTATAATAGCTGATGCTGATTCTAATTAATTTCTGTTTTTTTTTTTTTTTTATTCAAGAAAAACTTAGTGCAGTTAAATTGTATTCATGATACCTGTTGCTACCAAAAAACAAAAAACAAAACAAAAGTAAACAAGCAGTGCCAGACACTGGGAAGACCATATTTAGGTTTCTGGTTTTGCTCTGCTTGGACTTTTTTGTACAATTCTGCTGGGAAAGAAAGAATGGTGTAGGAACTTTGGGCATTAGTGGTGTATTTTCTTCCTGCAGTTCAGATCTTGATACCTAGATGTGCTGACAAAGTCCTTGGAAAACACAATAAAAAAAGTATTACAGATATTAGAAAACTGTCTTCACTTGATCTGCTCATACTCTACTCATCTGCTTTACCTCATTTATCCGTATTTTTGGTATATAAACACCCAAACTCATTGGAATTATGCTAAATCATTCTTCAAAAGTGGGTTATCTTGCAACAACACATCAGTACTACATCCATAGGGAAACCATAAAAGCAGTGTTCCTGCCCACAGTCTGCACAGTTGAATAAACAGTTGTGCAGACTGCCAAGTCACTGTTTTTTTTTTCCCCACTAAGTTTTTCTTGCAGTTAACAAAGCAAATTGGCATTGTGATACAAGAGAAACTAACCTGCTTTGCAGAAATGCGTATGTCTAAATTACGACATACTGCTCTTCAGAGCAGTTCAGCTTTGTGAGCAAAAAAGGCCAAACTGTGAGAGCCTGTGCATGTTGGTGTTAAACTAATGTAATTAATTTTGTGCATTTATTTCTAGGTATGTTCTAGGTGGAGGTGCATTATGTATGGAACTTCTTACCAAACAGGTGAATGCAGACTCTCTTCCTCTTGTTACTGGAGTGCCAAGATTGATCATGAAAGGTGCACTGCTTTAGTAAAAAGATACTTGACAATTTTTATCCAAATAATAACAAATCACGCTCTAAAATAATGAAAATAAGTTCCTCCCCCTGAATTTAAGAATCCCTGCATGGATCATATCGCATACTTCCAAAGAAAGCATGGTGTAATATACCTTAGTCCCACAAAATTTGCCTTGCTGAATTTATACAAGTTTTCAATCTTTTCTGCCTTGAATGGGTTACAGTAGGTTTGAAGAAGAAGCTATATGTAAGAGCACCTCAGTTTTCCTGTTTTTTTTCAGAGCTTCTTAAGTGAAGCCAGTGTAGAAGAGATTTCCTTTGAGTCTTGAGGAGCAAGACATTCTGTTTTCTTTTCCAGAAGCTGCTGTTACTGCACAGTCAGTTCTGGAGAAGTGTGGAATGTAGGAGACTGTAGGACTGCGCAATTTTTGAATAGACAGTGACTGTTGCCTTTTTATTTTTTATTTTTAATCTTTTTAAATGATAAAACTTGTTGCAAGCTTGGCAGAAACTTCTGTGAGCTCTGGAAGGTGGAATAATGCCAGAGAGAAGCAGTATCAATGCAAAATCATCTTGGTTCACCTATGTGCTTCACTAGGAAGCAGTCTTCTAAAGTTGTAATTTCTCTTGTGGGGTTAATGAAAATATCTAGATGCCATAATGTGGCTGTTCTTGTTTCTTTCTTGCCATATTCTGGATATGTGTACAACTTGGCCTATGTCTCCCTACAAATTCTTAGTGCGTACAGTTACGCTTTTCTCTTGGAAATAAAAGTTACTAATTGAAAATGAGTAGTTAAAAGTATAACAAAGCTATAATAACCTTTTCTCTGTTGGCGGAAAAATCCCTCAGACATACATTCCCAAACAGCTTGCAAGATGAACACAAGAAGCAAATACATGTTATATAGAAGTATTTCCTTCTTCTTCCAGGGCTGGAGCAGTGCCTATTCAATAGAGTCAGTCATCATGCAGATCAACGCCACTTTAGTCAAAGGAAAAGCCAGAGTACAGTTTGGAGCCAACAAGGTAAATACACTGTGTATGTCACTTAAATGAATTTCTATTGGGTTTCTGTTTCTTTGTTGACCTCGGTGGAATAGTCTTAATGACAGAAGTGTTAGTGCATATATATAGATACATATCTGTATATGTGTATTTGAATTTTTATTTGCCTTACAGTTTTCCTGTTGCACTTATGAGTTTGCAAAATGATGAGTATGTGAGGAAGAAAAGCTCTCGGGGTGGGCAGTGTCTTGTAAGTGGGTAGATTTGTACCCTTCCCATGTTCATCATGTCGCTTTTTCCCTGTAATCTTGTTCTCTGTGTCGAGCTTCAGGATCTCTCTTTCTGATTCCCTTAAGGAATTTAAAATCTTCAGTCTGGCCTGACACAATTCCAAATCATGCTGTGGTTTTTCGAGAGGGTTTGGGAATTCTGGCTCTCTGAGCAGGGCTGCACATAACAGCCTCACTGCCATGATTGCATACACTAATGTTAAGAAGTTCTCATTTTTCCAGACTATACACTTAAAATTTTATGAAAGGGTGAAAAAATAATACCATACAAATACTTCTGAGTCAACCATTCAGCGTTAGTCTTAAACATAACTGACTTTCAAGTGTGCATACTTGGACACACTTCCAAGTAATGTACTTAATGTGCTTAAAGGACAAGTCACTTTGAAGTGTTAGGTGCTAGTCTCAGAAGAGGTTTAAATATTTTCAAGCCCAAGAAACTGTGACTTGTGTGCTAATTTCTAGGTAGTGATCTAGGTAGAGAAGATGGAATACGAGTGTGATGCATAATTCTGACGTTGCTGTTGAAATTATCACTGTATACTTGGTTTAAGTATTTTATCACATTTCCCTCTAGTCTGGTAAATGGTCAGCTGAGCAACACACTTTGGAATTATCTCTGGTTCTGAACCCTTTGAAAGAGGGGCCTTTCCGACAGCAGGGGTGTATGGTTGATTTATTATCATGATGGAGAAGAAATGACAAGATAAAGCTATTGTCTTTTTTTCCTTTCAGAATCAATATAATCTAGCAAGAGCACAGCAGTCCTATAAGTCACTAGTACAAATACATGAGAAAAATGGTAAGTACATTCTTGCAGTATTTGATATTTGACAGCAGTAAAACTTAGTGTTAGACTGTTTTAATGTTGGCTTGGAAAAAACATAAATAGAGTTTATTTTCATATCTTACTAGACTGTTTTAATGTTGGCTTGGAAAAAAATAGAGTTTATTTTCATATCTTACTGGGAAGACAAAACTACCTAAAGTAACTAGACTGACAATTCCTGTGATTTTTCCAGTTTATAAGAATGTAAGCTATGTTCTTACTATCTTTCGAAAGGTAGTTGAATTTAATTTTCATTCAGTTGTCCTAGTGGATTTAGTGTTACTTCACTTCAAGATATATAGTACCTCCTGGAAGCTTTCTTGCCCGTTTCCAAAAAGGTGCTATCCAAATAATGCAAGAGCAAAGTAGCAGTCATTCAGGAAAAACTGAAGTATAAAGAAAGGGCCAAAGACTAAAAAGTATGAAAAAGTCTAGTACAGTGCACTGTCTGCAAAACTGTGTGATGGAAATGGGAGACACGTTCTATTTAAAGCCAGTTAATGGTGTCTTGGTTGACTTAAGACAAATGTTAAAGGGCTTCAGGTATAATCTCGCCTTTATGACGGGATGGGATGGCAACGATTGATCTGAGGCTCTGGAAAGTTTAAGTGACTTAATATGTCTTATAAAAGTAATCAGTAGAGCTGGTGCCCTGATCTCGTGGCAAAGGAATTAGTCCCAATTCCCACTTCAGTCATGTTCTTTGCTCCAGATTGGACACAGCATCCTCTGGGAATTCAGGTTGCTGGGAACGAGAGCTTGTTTCAGTGTGACCGTAGTGAACACCTCAGGTTCCCCACCTCTAAAATGAGCACAGTGAATATGCTATTCACTATGAATACACTACTGGGAGATCAGTGCAGTGTTGGGAAGACAGCCAAAGATAATGTGCTTATAATGCTTTCCAATTTTATGACATACTGATCTTGCCATCAAGTTTTTTGCTTTTTTTTTAGATAGCTACCAAAGCCAGCATGGCTGTCTGGTTTTACTTGCAGCTATATGCGAGCCTTGACCACAGTGCTAAGTGCTGCATCAGAAGTTCTACACAAAACATTCACACCATTTATTACTGCTGCGAAAGGTGTCTCTGTTAACTTATGGCTGCTCCTTATTCTTTGGGACAACATAAATAGGCCTGTACCAAATGTAGAGAAATTTTTATTGCAGTGGCTGGGAGAACAAAGATTGGAGATCTGGAGATGACTAGGTCAAGTCAGTCTTACTTGGCTCGTTGGGTTTTGGCATGAATAGCTTGTCTCCTTTTATGATCCAGCTGCCAAACCCTGACATTGCTGAGCCTGTTCCTACACAAAGATTTGCAGAAGTAGGGTAAAACTTTCAAATACTTGTGTGTGCCCAGCTCTTCAACATGCAAGGTGGGATTTATATATTCTCCCTGTGCAGTCATATTTGTATGTCTGTATGTGTTAAGTGACTGGAATTACCTGCTTTTTACCCTTATTTTCTTCCAGCAATGTTTCTCCTTTAACAGCTCCCATTATTGGTGTCCATCTTGTTATATGGCAGTAGCAAGATAGCTGCTGTGATATAAGGAAAAAAACACCACCACCACCAACAAAAAAAAACCCACAAAAGGATTTTCTTTTATTTTCATACAGAAATACTGGGTCGGGTCCTGGAATATGCCAAGTGCTTTATCTGCCACTAGCATTTAAGCCACTGATTCTCACTGAACTGGTTTCCTTGTGAGAGGAAAGGAGCCAGTTCAGCTCTGAATCTCCCACAGATTCAAGGAAAGATCATCGTAACGTGATGTTGGTACCTAATGGATTTCTCTGTTCCCCGCAGGCTGGTACACTCCTCCAAAGGAAGATGGTTAATACCGAGGACTGTCGTATACCTGGACCAACATCAACAAAGCGAGCTATTTTTTATGTTTTCCAACACACACAGACTCAAGCTATGAGTGCCCCTATAACAGCTGTACTGAAGACTTTAGCTCTTAGATAAGTTAGTGGATAATCTGTCAACTGACACTTAAAGTATAAGTTACAGCCTTACCATTCCGCTCTTCTTAGATATCTCGGACTGAGCAGTTTTGGCCTTTACTGCATTTGTTCTTATGGATTAAGCATATTTGGGTCAACCCTTCCCTTCCCCCCTTTTTTATTTAAAAGTGTAAACTCCCTAAAGCAAGCTATCGAGTTACTAAGGATCATTAAATAGGAGTTGTTCACACACTTTTGTGTATTTCTTACCTTTTGCAGGATGCAGACTGCAGAGACTTGCATTGTATCGTTTCATTTAAAGCCAAGAAGTTTAATACATTGTTTAATACTATTTTAGGAAATGTCAGGTCTTGCAAATCACGGTAGTTTTTCTGGTCTAAAATGACAGCATTTGTAGTATTTCCAAATTAATGATATAGGAAAAACACGTGTATGTTAAGTCATTAAACATTTTTTCATGGCTGTTTGAGAATATGAACTGTTTCTTGGAGAAGATGCTCTTTGTTTAGATTATGTTTTTTGTTTTGTTTTTAAGCAGAGCAAGGCTGTGCCAATAAAACCTTGTAACTAGTCACTTCCACTGGGGCATCAGAACTTGCTGGGCTGTTCCTGCTACTGCTTGGCTCAACCTACTCACCGAGAGCCGCAGTATGAAGCTTGAAGTTATTTAAAATGCTAAAAAACCTTTTTAGGTGTTCCATTTTTATTAACGGGTTGTTGCAATCATTTATAAACTAATGAACTTCTAAAGTGATTGGCACAAATTGAGGTGAAAGTCCTTGAATGAAAAGTTTTTTTTATCTAAAAAAGCTATAATAAAGTACAAGAATGCATCATCTGCTTCAGAGATTTAAGGAATGTTGCCATAGTTGTGAGAGTGGTTTTGCCATGGAGAGACTAATGGGAACTGCTGTTTCTTTCATAGGAAATGAATGAACCTGGGTCTGTGTAACCACGCCGTTCATTGCCTTATGAGCGTGGATCTGTTTAGGTTGCAGCCCTCGGTGTTGCCTTGGGAGACGTCTCGTACAGTGCACACCATGGGCGAAGTGCTCCTAGAGGCCCAGGAACATATTTTTGTTATATTCTTTTTTGTTGATTATCAAATTTGTGCTGTGTTCTCTTATTAGGCACCTGTGGGTCCTTGTGCATTTGCTTCTTGATCCAATTTTTAGCTTGAAAGAAAAATAAGAGATTTGGCACTGCTTCCGATACACGTTGTTTGGGCTCCCCTCTCGGCCACGGGGGGTGACTGCCAGCCTTTCTGCTCACTTGGTTGTACATATTATATTTGTATAAATTCCTGGTAGCCAGACGCTGATGTAGCCCCCCGTGCGAGGCAGAGCCACCAGCGTCGCCCTCCTCGTAACCTGAGGAGGCTGAGCCGCCTCCGGCGCCCCGCGGGCTCGGCATGCTTTGGTTTGGGTTTACTTTCCTTCTTTTTTGCCCTTTCCTTTTCCTCCCTCATTGCAGAATTACTTGGCAATGTACAGTAATTTGTAAACTTGCATCAAGTTTATGAATAAAAACCATTTTAAGAACGGCCGCCTCCTGTGGTTACTGTGGGGGGGGCGGC